AGAAGCAACGGGGATGTACAGTATGAGGACCTGACAAAACTAACTGTGGGCCATAAACTTTCAAAACACTGCAGCTGGAGTAACGCTGGCGGTCTTACAGGTTTATAACCCTTGAACAGAGCGTTTCTGTTTTGAGCACATTCCTATAGTTCTGGAAATCTGGATTATTCTTCTTTCTTTCTTTCCTGAACTTTCAGGGTTGCTGGTGCAGGAACAAATTCTTCTGCACCGCCAGCAGACGGAGGCCAGACGCGATGGAAATGGTCCCCCGGTTTCCGGATGAAACCGATCCCGGCGCCGGTCGGAGGAATGCAGGGGTCTCCCCTGCGCTCGTGCCTCCACCGACTGGTCGGGATCAGCCGCACGGCCCGAGGCTCCCAGGACTGGTGCCGAGCGCGTCCCACCTGGGAAGCTCCAGATATTCAAGGCTAAAAATTACAGAGCCTCGCCGGGGGACGACTGGCACACTTTCTCTCACACCAGAAAAGATGAGACAAGACGCAGCATCTGCCCAGGCCGACTCTTACCTGTCACTGCACGAGTACGGTAAGACTGCAGTCGCTCAACGCAGTGGCGGGAGAAGCTGTATGCTTCTGCTCCCCTGCCCGTCTCACACGAGCTACAGAGTCGTAGAGCTGGTTTAAAATATACCGTACTGCGCCATGCAGCGCCATTGCCTGAGCCTCAATACACTGTTTCAATTTGCTTCCGACAGATGCCACACCAAATGATCTTTATATAGTATATTCCACCCGTCCATTTTCGAACTGCTTTATCCAGTCAAGGGTCACAGGGGGCCGGAGTCCAGAAAAACAACAGGGTCATTCTGGGCACAACCTGGACAGGAAAGGGCATATATAGTATTTAACTATTCTTCCATAGTAATATGAACTAAAAAAACTTCTCTCTCTACCATAGCAAAGACCCTAGAGAAAACCCCACCAGCACCTGAAATTCTGGGAGAAATTGCTCAGTTGGTCCCAGTTCAGCCAGTACTGGACAGTACTGAGTGTGTGTAGAGTATCATAGCCATGCAGAGCCTTCAGTAAACCCATTATCCCCCAGCTCCATCAGCTAACCCCTGCAGTACCTTTCCTTTTTCAGATTAGGGGTGTCCCGCAGACGGACCGGCCCTGCAGGACCGGGACTGGACAGTACTGAGCGTGTGTAGAGTATCGTACAGTAGCCATGCAGAGCCTTCAGTGATACTGCACGTAAACCCATTATCCACCAGCTCCGTCAGCTGGTTCAGTCAGCACAGAGAGCACTGGGTGTGCATTAGTCGGGCTGTGCTTTAGGAGGAAATCTGCCAGCCAGAGTTCAAAGGGACACAGGAGCTGCCTCAGTGTGACACACAACCCCTGACAGGCACTGCGCTCCTCTCTAGTAGATCAGTTAGCGGGAGGAACAGAGAATGACCTTACGTCTGTTTTCACCTCCTTACTTTCGTAAAGAGGATTAAAATGTCATTTAAAAGGAACAAAACATCACTCCTTATGTTTCGGGAACCATTAAGCATGACAGATATACGACCATGCGGTTTAATACTACAGCACCACTCTTGGGTTTAAATCACAAGGCTAATGGTCACGAGATGCATCGCAATGCGGAAATGTTCTGACAAAAACTGATGGGTGACCCCCCTCACCACAAATTAACGAGAGCTTACTTCAGATTACATACAGTTTAGAATCAAATACCTCTATCTGATACCTCCCATTACAGCTATTAAGGACATCTGTCTGGTGTCACTCAGGCAACACACAGGCTTCCCAGAATGGAAGATTCAGCTCTAATCCTTAAAATCAACCAGCTGAGGACAGAGTGTTCCTCACAGAGCCCTTATTCACAGAACTGTTCACGATGGTCCAGAACACACTGGCGAGATCAGGCCACTCGTTTCCCACAGCTCCAATCCCATCCTGCACTGCATGACATTTTAAAGCTCTCTACACTTTTGAGATTCAGGAATCAAAAAGGCTTGGCTGGGAAAGTAAAGCAGCAGATCTCCTTCTCGAAACCTAACATGTGCAACCTCCAGATCAAGCTGCGTTCTTAAAACTGTATAATTCTCGCCCCCGTCAAACACACTTCCTGGCCAAAATATCAGGATATCCCAGCAACAAGCAAATAAATGTATTTGCGAAAAGGCAGTCCATTTGTGGTTAGTCTGACAACAGACAGAATAGGCAGTAGACCCAGACAATTCCTAAACCTGAATCCAACCGAAAACTCATATTCCTGCTGGGACAAGCCTCAAATGAAGACAGACCTGCTGGGAAAGGGACGAGGCGGCAATTATCTCAAGACCTTTAGGAAGACATGCCACCTCCTCTTCGAGCTGCTCAAAGAGAACACATGTGCCGTTTGGCAAGGAGTCCTCCTGTGGTGGACGAGGACCATACTGTAACATGTTCTTGTGACCCTGTCGTCCAAACCCATGAACACCCAGACCCAAATCAATGGAGGACGCGAATGTGGCGACAGAGGGCTCACCATGAGCCCAAAATAAGCTGAACACAATCCATTTATTGATCCGACTCAGCCCCTCAGTCCACAGCACAATTAGGAAGCACTGATCTCCACTGCCCGAAATAATTATGAAAACACAGAAAAACTATGATTTGCATGTTGTTTTGTTTACATGCTACTTTGATGCAACAGTCTGATCTATCACCGATTATTTGTCAAGCTTCTAATGGAAATTTTTTGGAATAACAAACTGTTCTGGAAATAGAAACTTAATTGTATTCATAATGTACAGTACGGACATCTCGGATGAAGCTTACAGAGTAAAAACATCAGTACAAAAATTATTCTTTTGCACTAAATTCAAACCACAATATTGCAGATATGAAAGCTTATAATACATTCTGGAGCATTCCTGACATTCATGTGTATTTCAAATACAGTTGCTGTAGCTGATAATCACTGTCTTCCAATAATGTTTTTTTAATATACAAAAACTTCAGGCAACTGCTGTAGAAATTTGCTTTGCAGTTAAAAATATTAGATATATAAAACAAAAGCATGAGATCAGTTTAAACAGAGGTGAAAATTCACAATGGCACTAACTTTAATCCAAATTATTGCTGGTTTTATTTGTTGTACCAAACAGACCTTAATCCTAGCACGAAGATCGGATATACTGTACCTTAAGATCAGTCAATAAAGTTCCCCATGATCACACTTTCCTAGTCTCTAAATAGTCATTTTATGACAACAACTTCTACATGTGATGCATATTCGGGAAAGAACAGGGAAATTTAGTTCTTTCAATGTTTCCTTGGTATTTATAGAAAAAAAAGTCTTAAGCCTTCCCTTGGACTGCACAGTCACACTGGGAATCCAGACCCAGGACTCTTAGAGGACCCTTCTATTCGGTTTAGATTCAATTAATGGCAAATCGTAAAATCCTCTCAAGCATTAAATGGAATTCCCTAACTAATTATTTGCTACTGATTGAAGATCCCATGGTTCTGTTTGCAAGAGTAGGGGTGATGACTCGGGCTGCCTGGTTAAACTCCACTCTGGGCTTTGGGTTTGCACAACCTGAATTCCCCCCTATTCAAATGATGGGGTGACCTCCCACTCCCACTCCCACTGGTGCAGGAGGGCTGCTCCGTGTCACCCAGGCGGGGGCTGAACTGGGTCTCTTCTTATAAGGATCTGCGCCTGTGACCGCGGCCGGCAGAGGAATCCTGCTCTGCTGGGCCCCTGAGCAAGGCCCTTCGCCCCAACTGCTCCAGGGGCGCCGTGTAGATGGGTGACCCTGCACTCTGACCCCCAGCTTCTCTCTCCCTGTCTGTGTGTCTCATGGAGAGCAAGCTGGGGTATGTGAAAAGACAAATTCCTAATGCAAGAAATTGTAAAGGGCTCATAAAGAAACATTATCATTATCATTAAGCGAGGCATGAAAAGTGCTACTGTACATAACTGTGAAGAATCACTGTTATGACATCTGTTGTACCGCACTGTTACATCTGTACACCTGGCATTGTGTTGGGAAAGATCCATGAACAGAACAGGATTGCAACACCATGTGGAGCGAGTATAGGGTACTTATCTGTGTGCACGCAGCTGATGGTACCAACGCATAATAACTATCTCCCACGGACTGTGTGCTCATCCAAGTCCATCCAAGCCCGGTCTTTGTATTTCTAAAACGATCTTTTTCACTTTGAACGTTTGTGCTCAGCCTGCTTTCATCTGACCATACAATACACACCAGCAACTCCAAATCGACATGTATTCTGGGGTGTGGGGAAAAAAACTCAAGAAAATTCCAAATCGTTCCTTTTATTTGTGGTCTTAAAGTTGCTGTGGCTATGTCTTTGTCTTTCTAAGAGCAATCAAAACCGCACAGAGAGCTAATCGAGGGTCAATATCACAGGGAGGTGCGGCTCATTCGGAATTCCACGGTTAACTCGGGTATTCCCCAGGTGGGAGCTACAGTATCTCTGAACAGGCAAGCTGAAATGCGATCTGAATCCGCGGGCTAGTGAAACGCGATTGAAGCCGCCATCAGGGCGCAACAATGTGCAAGTTTGACAGTGTGCCTGACAGGCGCCGGGCGCCCCGACCCCACTCTTAGCGCGTGCAGCCGTGTGCTGTCCCGTTCCCCGCACACGCGTGGGCACAGGCGCCCGAACAAGCTGGAGTCAGCACAGAGCCGCCTCCGTGGCCGTCATAAAGCCCTCTAATTCTCAGGGTCCACCAGAGCACGGGGGTTTTTTTGATCCTCTGCCGTTAAGAGCGCACATTTCCACCTCGGACGATGCAACCGCATTTGCGTGCGATTTGCGGTGCAGCGCGTCCCGTCCTGCCGCGTCTCCGATGTGTACACTTCAGTTCAGTCTTTAACCCGCGTTTCTCTGGGAACGTCTTGCACCGGCTAAAACCTTTTTTTTCTGGCACTCCAGTGTCACAGAGACCCCCCTCCCTCCACCGGCGCTCCCCCTCGTACCTGTGGGGCTTCCGGACGCCGGCCGGCGAGGTGGGCTTGAACCTCTGCTGGTGGATCTGCTGTAAAGACCGCAGGGAGATGCTCTTGAACAAGCTGTCCTCCGCCGAGTCCTCCAGCTTCAGCTGCGGGATGATGTGCCCCGGGTTCGCAAAAGCCATTCTGTCGTGCGTACCCCCCACTCGGGCATACGGAGAGGGGGAGGGCCGGGGGGTACACGACGGAAAAGCAAACTTTGGGGATGAAAAACCCCCAAAAAAAAAGAGGAAGGAGAAGAGAACGTGTCTGTTGAGGAACTGTTGTCCGTCTTCTGACCTTCTCTTCCCGTTCTCCCTCCCCCTTCCCCCTTCCCCCCAGGACACCACGGCTCGCCGTGAGGAAGAGGCTGGCGGCTCCCTGCTGAGGGAGGAGGAGGAGGAGGATGCCGGGTTCGCGGAGCGAGGCGCCGGTCGCGTGCACCTGCTTTCCAAGGGCGGGCGCCATGCGCGCGCGCGCTCGCGCCCGGCCTCGACAGCCGCGCGCCAGCGCGAAAGTTGTCCGGGCGGCGTCTGGTGGGAAGAAAAAAACACATACGACCGCCGCAGCCGTATTCTGTAAAAAGTAAAAGTACTTTATCCTCGTCTCCATCGTCTTTAATATCAAAGAGGAGGGGGGGGGGCGTTTCATCGCCTCTCTTATTATCCCCTAGTACAACGAAAAAAATCCCACTGAGGTTAGTTGAATCTAATCGGTTTTTCCTATGAAACGCAGAGTGATTTTAAAAGTAACCGTGATTATGAAAGACTTCAACTGTGAAGCCTTCTTTTTATTATAAATAAGTGTATGTTACCTCATTTGCTTATCAATATCACGGTATGTCGTTGATCTAAGGGACAGCAACATTAAAGAAACTACTACGGCTTTTTTTTTTTAAATCTTTCAATCATTTTAGTCTTTACCTGAGTCGGGTTTGGACCTCCTCATAGAAGGGAAAAGTTCATCATGAGAGTTCAGACGGAGCAGTCTGGGTGAGCTGAGGGTCGTTTAGGATGTTGGATTCGTGCTGCACTGCATAAAAGTAGGACGATAAATTAAAAAAAAAAGCAGGCCCTCTTCAACGGTTTTATGTAAAGGCGATTCATTATTACTATTAAGAAAATGTCTCTTATCAGGAAGAGACGTGGACAACACGTCCTATTTATACTTTCACACTTTGGCTCTTACAGGTTGGTCGCTTCTCTCTCCATGCTTTGGAGGAATGAAAGGATATCTAGAAAAAACGTGTCGGACGAGTGTTCCGAGGCCCCGGCTTCCACGACCACACGTTACTGTGACACAACACACGTCCGGCCGCCGATACAGCTTCACCTGCCGTTACAGGTGGGACCTCCAGCCTGCGGGAAGCCTGCAACAGCAGCCTACCTGCAGCATAACCGGTGAGGAGACATGACTGCTGCTGTTGCTTCTCTTTAATACATACTGTACTGGACGGCACTTGTACTGTCGGGGTGACATATTTTAATACGCCGATGTGCTGTGCATCACCTAGTTGTGGTTGAGGTGAGGCCCCTGCTATACTGTATGTGAGGTAGTTTGGAGGTACCGCTGGGAAGTGCATGTAAAAAGCAACACTGTATACAGTAAATGCAAGGAATTGTTGTTTTTTTGTGTGTGATTACAATGTGTCTTTTGTTGCCGAGAAAAAACAAGAATTCTGTGCAATAAGGAGTCTGGGCCCGACAAGTGGGACAAGAGCTGTGGGGATTTTCTGCTCTCAGGCCTTACAGGAAGCTCAGTATGGGCCCTTTTCCTACAGGTCATGTGCTGTTATGTGATCATTTTATTCCAAGGCAGGACACATCTGGAAAAAAAACACTGTTTAAAGACGATAAACTGTAAAGTGGAAAAGCACCTTAACTGAAGCTGGACTTTGCGATATGCCCTGCAAAAGTATTAAAATGTTGCTGGATTACAAATGATACTTGCACATCTTTTTTCCAATCAGTATTTTTTGTCACACGCTCAAACCAAATATTTTTTAAAAGGCCAAAATAGTTATTTGTCAGCAGATAGCTCGAAGAAAGTCAGAAACTGAGATATGCTGCTTGCATTCAGACCCCTGTGCTCTGGCAGCTCAAAGTTTACACAGGTGAAAGAAATGGCCGTCACGAAGATATACTGTAATTGCCGTTCCTGTGCACCACTGAAGTAACTGTCACATTTCCTGGACATAATCCCAAGTGTGTTTAGGGATCTGTGGGATCTTTGGTCAGGGAGAGGAAAGGTATGAAAATGAAGACTAAACAGCATTCTAAGTAAAGTTAGAGATAAAGGGATTAAAAATGTATAGATTAGGAAGAGGGTAGAAAAAAATATCAAAGTGTTTGGATATCCCAGTGAGCAGTGTCAGCTCAATAATCAAGAAGTGGAATCTGCATCACAATGCCTAGAAAAGGCTGTTCCTCAGAACTCAGCATCCGGACAAGAAGGAGACTTGTGAGGGTAGCCACTGAGAGGCCAATGATTACTTTGAATGATCTACAGAGTTCAAGGGCTGAGAGTGGAGTAAAGGTGCATCTTTCAACTATACTGTACCAAGAGGTCTGCATAACACTGGCCTAAATGGGAAGGTGCAAGAAAGAAGCCATTACTGAAAAACCACCATCTCGAACACATCTCAAAGCCCATCTGGAGTTTGCCTGACAGCACAAGAATGATCCAGCTAAGGTTTGCTAAAAGGGTTTGTGACGAGATGAGATCACGATAGAGCTTTCTGTCCAAAATTCAAAGAGCTACAGTATGTGTGTCACAAGCCTAATACTGCCCATGCCCCTGGAAACACTATCCATACAGTAAAGTATGATGGCAGCAGGATCATGGTGGAGATATGGTGGGGATGATTTTCATCAGCAGGCATTTTGTGATAACTGAGGGAAAAATGGATGGAGCGAAGTGTAGGGAGATATTGCAGGGGAACTATTTCAGTGTGCCAAAAAAGAAGCTTGGGGAAATATTGACCTTTCAACAGGACTGCTGAGTCAAAGCAAAATGGGACTGGCACAAGAATAAAAGAGTGAATGTCCCTGGGTGGCCCAGTCAAAGTCCAGACCTCAACACTATTGAGAATCCGTGGAACGATGTGAAAATTGAGGTCCACAAGCACTTTCCAATAAATATGAATGAGCCGGAGCAAATCTGCCAGGAGGGACTGGTAAACCTCTCTCCTAAACAGTGTTCAAAGCTGATAAACACCTACCTCAGAAGACCTAAAGCTGTTATTGTGGGAAAAGGTGGCTACTGCCAAATATGAACACGTGGGATCTGAATATTCGTGCAAGCTGCCTATTTCAGTTTTTTAGTTGCTTTAAGATATCTGCTGACAAATAACGAATTTTATCTTTTTTGTTTGAGCAAAAAAAAGGATGTGTACGTATCATTGTAGTCTAGCAACATTTGAGGACTTTAAAAGGGTCTGCAAATTTTTTCCAAGCCACTGCAAAGTATTGCTAATGTGATATACCGTCTACTGTATGCATACAGTACAGCAATACTTGTACTGACCATCAGAGGAACATGAGCCATGTGATGTTAAGTTTTGGTGAGGTTTTGGGGGGGTTTCAAGGCTGCGGACTTTCTCTAGACAGATTCTTGCACCACAGCAATTCATTTTCCATTAATTTAAAATTCTTCTCAGCGTCTGTTTCAATCCAGTTGATTGGCTCTAGGCAGAGCCGTGGAATGCTACAGTCATCACTTACTGTAAAGCCAATCAGCATTTTTTTTAATCTGGTGTCAGTAGCTTCCTTTTGCTGAACGTTATGTTTGCAGCTCAGAATTAATCACGAGTTTAATCTCATTGTGCGGCGGTTTTGCTGCATGCACAGTTCAGTTTGGTAATTTCACACAGAAAATGTTATGGGTGGTTCTCAGTGCCTTGAATGCCATATCCCTCCAAGTGAAGTACTGTGTGCAATGACATTAATACTGTGTAAGATTTGCACAGGGTATTTGTATTTACTGCAGTCTGAGTTGTAAGTTAACTCAGTGCATGTAAATATTACACTGGATTCTTAAATTCTATGATAATCACTGCCAAGGCCATTTTATCATTTCAGTATATCTAAAAAGTACAAAGAAAAATTATTTGTGCTGTGAACAAATGTTCGTTTACCATTCAGTTGATCTTTATCATGGAGTTAGCAAAGTACATCCGTATGCAGTGTAAGTCTGCAATATTTTACCATGTGATATAGTATGTCTTGTAAATGCAGATTAATAACAGACTTCTGGCTGTTAATTCAGCTCTGGTGATGACAATCCATACACATTTACCACACATTGACTTAAAAATTAATAAATGCAAACAGAAAAATGATCTTTATAATGTGCCCTTCAGCACTTCAGCAGAGTGTGGAAGCCCCTTCAAGCACAGGAGATGCTTAAGGCTTTGATCAAGCCATAACACACACATTCAGTGCACACCAGATGTACTATAACTTGCAAGGCCATTCTGTAAGTGAAGCAATTAGGGGACCTTGCAGAGCACTTAGTGTGATGCGCAATTAACACTTTATTATAGATTATTATAGCCTGTGATCTGCTTGGTTAAAAATGTAATTAACAGAAGAATAAGGTTCTTTCATAAAAACGATTTAGTCAAGTTGTTGATAATTCCTGGCTGGAGCATTTAATGCACTGCTGACAGGTTCTTGGTTCTTTATCATGTGAAAAAGAACTGTTACCCTGATTCCATGTGCTCTTCCAGAGTATAATTCGCATGGAACCTTGAGCACAATTACTTTGTGCATGATATTAATTTCCTGTTCAAAATTCAAGGGTTATTAGTGACAATTAAGTACACTTGTACTCCCAATAAGCACTAGCTACCTCAAAGGAGTTTCAGCTCACAAACTGTAAGTTTGCATTTAGGTTTGAGGATAATGTGATGTTTTTTATTCATGGAACATTCTGATACACGGAAGTGGTGGACAGAGCTGCTTCCTTACACCTCTTGGGTCCTGGGTTCGATTCTGCACCGATAAGCCTTAGGTGTGCATGAAACATTGCGTAATAGATGCAGGCTTTCGTTGTTTTTTGTCGTCTGTGGCAGCTTTCAGAGGGCGCTCCAGTTTCTTCCCACCTTCCAGAGAGGTTCTGGCTGGGTTAAGGAGTGTCTCTAATTTGTTCCTTTGTGTGTGTGTCCTGTGATGGACTGGTGCTCCACCCCAGAGTGCAGTGTGTTTCAAGGAAAGGCCCTGCATTGCTGTGACCCTCATCTGCAATAACCGGCTCTCTGGAAATGGATGGACATTCGATTTCCACAAGCTCCACCAAGTGTTCCATTTCAGGGACATTTCTCTTCTTTTTTTTTCCAGAAAATAATGAGGTTTTAATCTCAGCAACGTCCTTAAAAATAGCAAGCTGTTAACCTCTCCTCTTGGTTTTTCAGCTCTGCTATAATTAGTGACACCATCAGACAATGAGTAGTCATTTAATTTTGGGTCACAGAGTAATTCTCATCATACTGTGACCAGCACTTAGCTTCCCTAAAATGCAAGGGGCTTGAGGAGATAGCCACTTACACAGCAGTTAATCATCCATATGGCTTATCGGCAAAATTTGCTCATTCATACTCCTGCTTTGTTTATGGTTTCTGATAGCCCTATCGTTTAACATTCTCATTTATTATCCAGAAGCTCAAATTATTAATCACCATTCCATTAATAAGCATTCACTACCCTTAGATTTCTATCTATTGCTACTTATAACCAAATTCAAATGAAAATTAGAAGCAGCTGTATTTGAGAACTACAGTATGTATTTTAAGGTTTATACAGTATATGCAGTTTTCTTGTTTCATGGGAGCTTTCCAGTAAAAGCGTAGTTGTTACATCAATAATGTTTTTTTTTCTACTTTTGGTTTTCAAAAAGTGCTGTCATCTCCTCCAAACTGTCTTGAACCTCATTTTTTTTACGTCAGTGAATTTCTAATAATATAACATCCAGTGTGGGCATGATGGTCAGACTGATCATGGGATACTATAGGTTTCATGCCCGGCTCTTGAAAATTTTCCAGCAGCACTGAGGATAACATGAATTCAAGAAAACTTTTTAAATATTTTTAAATATTAGTAGTATTTTTTTAAATTATTTATTTTATATTGAAAGCGTTTCTAGAAACAATATAGATGTGCATAAATAGAAATATGGTCATGCTTTGTGTTAAAGTTGTTATGGTACTGTATGTTTTTCCATCTGTGACACCCTGTGCACCCAGCTTTCCCAGTGGGCAAAACGCCCATTTGGGATGATATTAATTAGATGGGCAACTTACCCTCAGTGTAAGTGGGTGTAGTGTTCATTGTGATCATTCCTGTCCATATTGTCCTTTTGTTGTAGACTTCTACAAATTTTAAATTATTTGCACTCTTTTGTT